CTGTACAAATATCACAACTTGAGCAAAGGCCAATTCAACTTCCTCTATAACAATTGAAGCAATTTGGCTGGCGGGGACCCACTCCTACACTCAATAAAGCAAAAGACAGCCCCCGGCAACTGGCGAGGGTAAATATCCACAAAATTGAATAACAAAATATTTATGCGTTATAAAAAAAGATAGAAAATAGTAAAGAAAATAATGGAAAGAATTTAACTATTATTTATTTCTATATATATACATATAATTTGCCAGCATGTATTTATGATTTATGAAGTGAGTGTGTATACATAGATATTCTCCAACTTTCTGCAGAGGCTAGGTGCGTGCTGGTCACTACAAATAGTTGTCCGAACAATGGAGAGTGAGAACCAGAATGGATGAATGGCCATTGAGTTTGGTGGCACAGCACGCGAATCGCTTCAGTTATAGATATATATATATATAATACGAGGAATACAATCACACACCCACTCGCCGCGGAACACGCACCCGGCTTTAACTATCCGAGCACAAAAGGAGAGGAACAAATTGGATAATGTCTATAAAAACTAATTGAATTCTAAGCGCTGGGCACGCCATCGGGTTGTGAGAAAGTAGTAATGAAAGCCAAACCAATCAAATGAGTAAAAAGCGAGTTAAACAAAAACTGGGAACGCGGAGTGATGACATGCAAGCTGCTGGATAGATGTGTATCTAAAGGAGACAGAGAGAAGTGTGTGTGTGGGCAGTCTCTTCGAGGGTAGGAAAACAATTTCACACACAAATTGTACAAAGACGAGAATTACTAAAAAGAAAACACTCCAAGATGGTTCTTCGCATGTCATGGCACCTAGGCTAGAGACTGTAAAAACAAGCAACCAAAACCTGAAAACAAGAAAAGAACACAAAGCTGAGAACAAAAAGCTCATTACTCATATGCCAATCAAAAGGAGAGGAAGACTTGGACCCCCAAAAACGAGGTACAGATGCCATAATTAATCATTCGCCGATAATTAACAGCACAGTACGTCCAAATAGAACTAATGTTGGTGGTAATGCCCACCAATGTATCTGCTGGATACACTGCCCTGCGATCTGCACGGGGATTGCCAAAAACTGTTGTTTCATTTTTTGTTTTTGTGTGTTTTTAGCGTCCAACTTTAATGAGTTTGCTCTATTTTTGTGCAGCGTAACCAACCACTTGAAAGTGCGTTTGGAAAAGATGGACATTGCCCAGTTATAGACAACCCAGCTCCATCCCATTCCGCTGCCTGTCAAGTCCATGGAGCACAACCTTCGGGTTGAGTGATGTACTACGAGGGCCACAAAACATCGACATTGCCATCGATGGATGGTCATTAGCAAAAGATGACGACGACGACTGTGATGTTGATGTTGTTGTTGATGGCGCTCCACTGATGTTGCGTACTCGTAATTCTTCTATAATGGATCTGTTATCTCTGCGCTTAATGGGTTAGCTCAACGCTCCCCGAGGGGAGGCTTCGAGGGGTCTGTGACTGTGACTGAGACTGAGACTGACAGACCTGAAGCATGCTTAAAACTTGAAATTAAATAATTAGTCGCTCAGCTATCCGCTTTTTCGCTTCTTTTTTGTTTAACTTTATATTTCGTATTTAGATGGGGCCAGTGTAATGACCTTTTAAGTACTTTCGAGATACTAATCGCCTCTCGGTCCCTGCTTTAGCTGCTCTAAACAGCTAATGGCTTGTTGCGGCTTGTTTGTTGTAGTTCAGCGAGTGCAACAAAGTCGCCAGCCGCCACTTTGGATGGCACTAATTAACGTCAGGGAGAGCAGAAGCTTTTGGCTTTAGGGGGAGGGCGGGCCGCTTAACAAAAACTTTTCTCAGATGCGTATTAATTAAAATTTTTGATAAGACTCTTGAGCTGCTCGACCGCTCCGGGCGCTTGTAATAAAAGTTGAAAATAAATTACACAAAATTTGTATTTGTATCTTTAGGTGTGGCAACAACATCGTCGTCGTCATCATCATCATCATCGTCGTCGTCGTCGTCGGCGGCAAAAAGGGCTTATCGCCAAAAGTATCTACAAAATAATGGGCGACTAATAGGCCAAGACCCCATCCAGCTCCACTTCTTGGCTTGTTGATTATGTCAGCTTTTAAAGCGGCTTCGCCTCGACTTCTCCCACTTTTCTGCGGGTGAAAGTGTGCAAAGTTTTTAGCTCCCGGAATGAACTTATAGAGTTACACTTGTTGTCGCTGTGGGAATGTCAACTTCAGATGCTGGTCAACTGCTTCTCCAGCTGGCCAATAAATGTTGATAGTTCTCGGTTCTCGGCGAAATCCGAGCTGCTGCTGGGAAAATCCCTACCCCCAAGAGAGAGGTGTCGAGAAAACTCCCAAGAAACTTATCAAATATTTGTCCCACTTGAGTGATATCTTCTGTGGGCGGCTGGAATGCCCTGAGATGCGTATTTATCTGGGAGATTCATCTCACATTTCGTTGGTATTTGTTGCGTTTGTTTACAGTTAGGAAACATCTTGCCCATGATGAGGTGAAGCTGCATTCTGTGGCACGCATTTAATTGAGATGTCTTTAGACTTGGGCTTGTATTTCATTCAATTCTGTGGCAGTTTCTCACAAAATAATTGGCCAGCAAGGCCCAAGATAAGACCCATAATCGTGGCAGGAACCTATAAACTGTGCCAGCCAAAAAGACAGCGATTCCAAGTATGCCATCGCACATGGCACTGGCCCAAAAAGTGAGCTCGCCAAGCAGACCAAATTGAATGCGAAAATTCCCACACATTGTTCAATCTAATGAGAACTATGTCAATGTCTGCTTCATCGCTTAAACCCCGGAATACCCCTGCTCCCCGTTCGGGTCATACTTAAGCTTATGCTTATATATTCGCCCTTGGGCTGACACTTGAGATAAAAACTCTTGACAGAGGGGACAGGGGAAGAAATACACTCTTAGGTCTCGGTTCTTGGTTCTTGCCTTTAGGCTTTAGGCTCTTCCATCCTCTGCTTAAAGTCAATTGAACAAAATTTCTATGAGCAAATATTTTATGGTCAGTGTGCTCGTCTCTTTCATTGTGTGTGTGTGTTGAATTTTAAATGAAAATTCCATAGATGCCAGCCGCATAAAAATGTGCCAGACCATATTTCATACACAGCCAGAGTTCGAATAGCTCTCTGACAATTTAATAGTATTCCAAAAATTAGCCAATTAGTGCGACCGCCACTCTCCTCTCCATAAATATCCAAGTGTATATATTAATGACATAATGTATTTTCATTACCAGAAAGCGGAGAGGGGGCACTGGGCACTTGTAATTAAGAACTTAAAAGCGATAAGCTTTTATGGGGAAGGGAAGGCACTCAACTCAAACTCCTTGCCCCACGGCAAGTCCTTTGACTTTGTGCTGTCCGAAATGAGAAGCGACGCTTACACCTGTGGCACTTAATTATTATATTAAATCGGTATATCTGTTTCGGTCTCTAATTAACCTTTGAACCTCTTCACAAATCAGCGCCCTCACAACAAAAAGTCACCCCTCCCATTGGGGGGTGGCAAGGTGACAGTCACGAGTCCCATTATACGATATTGTATGTACAATTTGAAGCAACTCGCAATTACCAACGACACGTCAAGATGTGAAATTAACACCGTCACACAAGCAGGCAGACAGACAGACCCGAGGGGGAACCCCCGGCCAGTGGGCGGCAGACAGACATATTAATGTTTCTGGCTGGTATTTAACATTCAACAACAATAACAATCACTAAACGAGTGTGTGTGTGTGTGTGTGTGGTGTGTGGGTGACATTTTCTCGTTTGGCGCTGCCTCGAAAATCATTAAATCACACAGCAACAAAACATAGGAGGAAAAAAAGCTCTTTCCCTGTTTGTGTCAGCCATACAATTGGCCACCCATTCCTTCCGCCAGCCCCACGCATATCCTGTCACAGGACAACAGGGAGGCGGGGAGGCGGGTAGAGAGAAAGCACAAAAAAGGAAAATATATAAAAAGAAAAGCGAAGAGCTACGCAACCACAGCACGCAATACTCGCATTTCATTAGACACTTTGCAGCGACGACTCCTATTACTCTTCCTGAAAAGCCATGGGGCACCACTTCCCTTTCTTTCTGGCCAAATGACGTCGTTTTTCCCCAAAAAATTAGCGTTACACTTGGGCCGAAAAACTGGGGAATGGAATTCGTTGAACAGTGTTCAAAGTTCAAACAAGGTGACCCCTCTATCGAACTTGGAATCACTTGGTAATTATGGATTTCCCCGGGAAAGTGATGACCCCCATACCGGGACACACTAAAGTGACAAAATTCGACAGTAAACATCTGCTGGCCGCAATGATAACTGGCCAGATTAAGTGATATAATCGAGTGGCCAACGGCAGAGAACCAACTATTCCATTAGCTAACCGAAACCCAAAGCGAAAACTCGGCGGATGTGCAAATAAAAAGTTTCTTTTTTCTCTCTCTCTGGCAAATGAGTTTGTCATTATTCAAACACACAAATACACACAATTCGCGCACCTTTTTTGTGTGTTGTGTGTGCAACTTTGTTTTTGCCACAAATTAATTACAATCCTCCGAGTTGAGTGGCCAAATGTTGCTCCCTTTCTTGCCCCTGTTACCCGTGGAATTTTTCATACAACATATTTATCAACGCGTTGCAAAAATGTTTGTCCTGCAAGGGGAGCGAGGGGGAGATGAGACCAAAAGGACTTTGTGAGAATAAATTGGATGATATTAGGGCGACAACTTTTCATTTAGTTGGCCGGTCGGCGCTGGCCTTAATTTCCGGCCACACGCATCGTATCGGAAGATGCGTGGGAGCGGGAAAATGAAAATGTTAGACGGGAGTGAAAAATCGTTAGGCCGAGAGCGAGAGAGAGCGAGTGCTTTACGGGTCCCTTTGGGTTCCTGCTTCCCTTATATATTTTCTTTTCTTTTCTTTTCTTTTCCATGGGTGCTGGTGGGGTTTATATTTTTATTTTGCGCTTCACTTACCTGAAAATAGGTTTGACCCTTGTCCACCCAACCGATGGCCATATCGGCACCAGCCAGATTGCCATCGGGCGAGAAACCGAAGCCGACGTAGCCCAGGGTACGTGCCTGTATTTCAAATGTTATATCCTGATTAATGATTTGCCATAGTATGCGAAAATCCTCATTTAAATCGATGGCATGATCCCAAATGGGTGTTCCCGTTGCCGCTCCTGCCGCCGAGGAAGCAACTCCGGTTGCTCCTCCTTGTCCTGGCAAGGCACCTCCTGTTGTTGCTGCTGCCCCTGCTCCTGTTGCCACCGCTCCTGGCGATGTTGTTTTGTTGCTGCGAGTGGTCAACTTGCCGCCAGCAGCCTGAACTCCGAGGCAACCGAGGCTGGCCAAGAGGAGAAGGAGGAGGGGCAGCCAGAACAAGCTGAACGTGTGGCAGGATATAAAACATGTGATTAACGATGACCGCCTTGAACTTGAGAGCGCCGGTCCTCGTCGTCTGCTCCTCTGTACTTTGCTGGGTGTTGCTTCCACAGTTGATGCCGCTCCTGATGCCATCTCCACTCTGGTAACTGCTTTTCTTGTTGCCTGCCACATTGTGTTGGCCATTTTGTGCGCCGGTTAGCTGGCTGCTTGAGTTTAGCAAATAGTTGTGATTACTTTTCTTGTTGCCACGTTGACATTTATTACTCTCTTTCACTCTCTCAAAAAATCACTGGACGTGGCAATTACGCAACTGTTTTGGCCTGCTCGTCTTTCTCTCCTCTCTCTCTCTCTTTGGTGTTATCACAGTTACGATTATTTATTTAAGCAATTTTACTCAACTTTCGCTACTGCTGTTTCCTGTTTCCGATTAACCAATGGCCGCTCATTAGCTTCGCTTGTCGCATGAACAGAAAAAGCTACTGACGAACGAAGGAACGGATCTGATCTGGCGGATGCAACCTGTAAGGGAAGAAGAAAAAGAAAAAAATGTTATATAATTGCTATAATTTGTTGTCGGCTATAATATGTAGTGGCGAGAACTTGAAGTCGAGCTGAGCCCAGTGGTAGTAGCCTTCTTTCGTGTTGCAATGTTTAAACGCATATAATTACATAAATTATGAACCGGTATCTATGAGATACACATCCCCACACACTCAGGCATAGCTAGCAATCCATCCAACCATCCATCTGGCCATCCATCCCAGCACACACACACATCACAACAAAGTTGACGGTTCATTTTTTGTACTTCGTTCTGGGGAGTTCGTCAACATTTTCCTTGAAGCGTTAATTAGCCTGGTCACGCAGTTTTCACAGCGTCGGAAGACGAAAATTGCTTTCAGAGAGCGGGGAAAATTAAAGTCTACTCAAAAGATGTGGCAAACAGGAAGATGCCTGACTGAGCTTATTCACACACTTTGCCTTAAGCTAGCACTTTTCAATGGAAACTCAAGGATATGAAATCACTTTTAACTTCCCCTTGTCAGAGGATATCTCCTCCTCTTATTTACGGTATTTGAATGACTAATTCCGGGTTTCCCCGTCTCCAATATCAAGGGTCTACCCACTGACTACTAACTGACCGTCCCTCGCACGCAATTAGTGCGTTTTGTGGCCTGGTCAAAGCAAATCGAAGATAATTACAGCTTGTCATAATTTTAATGAAGAAGGTCGTCCAGAGCCTGAACCCGAGTCAAGTCGTCGTCGTCATCATTGTCTGCTGTCTGTCCAGAGATAGGGAAAGAGAGAGGCGAAGCCAGACCAATGGGATTTATTGTATTAAATCGTCGCGGCTTAGTCAGTCCAACCACAAGCGAGGACTATAGTCCTGGGACTCCATCTCCTCCTCCTCCATCCAGATCCCCCTCCTGGTTGCCATCGCAGCTGTCTGCGCATATTTTGGTGTGCGGTTACATTTGATTACATGCCAAAAGTACTGCTTCCAGTTCTCTTCCTTCTTTAATTTGACGTCGGCGTTTTTTGGGTAAATGTCAAATGGTTGGTAATTTGTTATAAATAGCCAACTTCCGGCGGGCGACGCACTCATAGATACATACAATGTATTTGCGCTAATTCCAAGTGCTTAGTCGCGTGTTCCCAAGTTGACAAAGGTCAACAAACGCCAGGCAAACACCAAAGAAAATTGAAAAGCCCACAACACAGAAAAAAGAAATGAATTAAGGCAAGAAGTGTTTGTGTGTGTGTGTTTTTCTTGACTCTACTTCGAGGTCGAAACGGGAATGCTCTCCAAAGTGAATATCTCAGCAAAAGATGATGTGATGCGGCGGGGGCACCATAACAATCTCGTCCTAATGTTGCTGGAAGGCCAATAAAAGTAATTTTCGGAAGTTGGAAATGGTTATGGAAATGGAAATGGAATGATTGGGACAAATGTATCGCGAAAGATACTTCTGGTTGTGGTTAGTATCTAGCTAGATTTCTATGGCATATTTATTGGTGACTTTTACGTTTCACTTCCTTCCTAACGACAAAGTTATTGTGGTTGCCGCCGCCGCTACTTTGCCTTGCCTTGCTGTTATCAAAAATGTATCCGCAAGATACACAACAATAAGCTTGATGGCGAAATGTAGCTTTACATTGATGTTGCTGCCGTTGATGTGGATGTTGTTGTAGCTGGCGCTGAGTGACGGCCGGCAACGTTAAATGACGTTGATTATAATTATGCGGACTTGTACTTTGTTCATCACAAGGCAACAGGGCTACAGGGCTTCTCCTTCTGCTCCACCGTCTCCCTCCCCGAGCTCCCTTGTTGCTGTTTGTTATTATTATTGCTGTCGTCATCATCATCAGCATGGTCATCAGCCACTTCCTCATGATCATCATGGTCATCCTGGTCCTCCTTGGCTTCGACTGCCGTTGATGGGGCGGCCAGATGAATGATGTCTCTTAAATACAGACCCAACTCGAGTCTGAGGCGAGGCGAGGCGAGGCCAATCGTCCTCATCATCATCGTGATGGCTGCTGCTGCCGTAAAATTCAAGCCAATTTAGCCTCGAGGAAGGCAGAACCGGCAGGTTCCTCCTTGCACAGCATGTTGCCCAAGAACGTAGAGTAAAAGACCTAAGTCTGGAGACATTCATAAGTACAAGTGCGCGGCTCTGCCCTCCCTCGATCACCCCGAGTTGTGTCATCTTCAGGCGAAGGACACTGGGCACTGGACACTGGACAGAGACACATTCATAAGTACAAGTGCTTCGTCTAATATTATTACTTGGCGAATTAACTACGCCAAGAGAGAGATACGAAAACAAACACAAACTCGCAGATTGCTCTGGCAACTGGTTCTAAAAGGCACGAAATGGCTTCCGTAGACACATTAGTCGCTTTTACACAAAAACCCAGACAAAACGGACAGAGCCCAGTTGTTGCCTCCCCGCCTGATGGGTGAGCAAAAAAAAACAAGAAGAGATGCAACTGAATGAGGCATATAAAAGCCTTCCCAAGCGCCGCCGCGGCACAAAAAAAAAGCCAGGAAAAAAAAACCAGGGAAAAATAACCAACAGAAGCGGAAAGAAAGAAAGAAAAGAGCGAAAGAAAAGCAAGAAAAAATGAATACAAGTCAAAGACTTTGTCCAATGGTTTTCATCATTGCACGATTTGTAGATGGAGCGGGTACCAGTAGTTCCTCCTCCTCCTGGTTCCAGGAGGAGCTCAGGGGAGGGAGAGCAGGAGGTAGCCCCAGATCTGGTCTGCTTCTGCGGCTGCTTCTGCTTCTGTTCAGCCGACGGAGAACGACATTGATGAGGATGTTTTTTGCTGGGGCAAGACAGTGGGACAAGCCCACGCGGAAAAGCTCTGGGAAAAACTAGTTCATTCAGAGCCAGGGTTAAGCATAGAAGAATGTAACTAAAGGTTGCTGAAGGTATCTAGAGAAAAGAGATACAAAATCTCTCCTAAATCATTTACTGAACTGTATTTTCTTAACTATACATTCCCTTCCAAGAGCTCTTCAAATCTTAAAGATACTACCCATTCCCCAAGAAACCCATAATCTACTTTACCCAATTCTCAAAGTCAAATACCTTTAAAACTAAAATACTAATTAACAACAGACAAAAGATCTGCCGAGTTCTAGAAGCCAGAACCAGAAAATAAATGATGCTGTGTGTGTAACCTTCTCAAGGGAAATTTGATCCCAAAAAACAAATTGTTTTCCTGCTGCCGTCATTCTGCGGTATTCCTTTCCCTTAATTGATTCCCATTCTAATTGCGATATTTAGCCAACTCATTGACCTAATCACAGAACAGAACAGAGTTTCACACATCATTAATAACGATGGATTCTGATTTGTGCGAAATACTCGCAGTTGTGCCTTTCACCTCTACCATTTAATCGAATGCTTTCACATTTTAATATCTCTCTTACAAAGAGAAATAATTAGTGGGTTTTTTTTTGGCACATTTCCATACATACTTTCTAATCCCATCCCAGTGTGCAGTTTTGTGGCAATTTCTTTTATGAAGGGTAAAAGGGGGGACTTGCAAGCCATGTATATGTTTTCATTTAGCAGATACAAGCTGCAAGTACACACACGAGATGCTACCGGGCCTTCGTCATCATCGAAGATGCTTCATCATGTGGCAGCAGCAGCAGCAACAACAGGCAGAATTCTGCGGTTGCCGCAGCTTGATTATAAATGTACGAGGCAACTTGTATGACATGTAAGTTGTTGTACTTGCTGCCTTGCATCTGTGAGAACGTGTATCTGTGCCGTGTCCACGGCCGCATGCATGTGTGGTTGTCACTGCACCTGTCATCCTTGCAGCCTTTGCCAGCAGCAAAAATTGCCGGTGCGGTGCAACAGCAGCAAGAGAAAAAAACAAAATTATTATTTATCATCGGTGGGGCAAGGTCCTCGAGAGAAGTCAAACAGGGAATTATGCGGGTATACATACACGGATAAAAATTATTAAATATATAATTTAAGTCAATTAAACTGGAGAATTTTGATGTATGAAATATGTTCAATTAAATATGGGGATAAGAACTTGGGTAAATTGATTCTCAGCTTTAGAAGTACTCAAAGTATCTTTGTTTCTGCTTGGAAATAATATTTTTAAGCAAATTCCTAACCAAATATTGTCATAAATACTTTAATATTTAATATTCTTTTGGTTCCGTGTAGCAGTTTTATATATAGAAATGCACCGGGGCTCCACTAATTACTGCACATCATTTGCTTACTCGAGTGCCTCTACTACCAACCTCGTCGTCGTCGTCGTCATCGTCTCCAGGCCTGACTTCCCCCCCTGCTTGCCGCCGCCTTGCAGATTTAATTGAGTAAAAAAATTGACTAATTAGAGTGAGTCCAAGGCACTTGGCCCCCGGCAAGCAGCGAGCAAGCATAAAAAAACCAAACAGGTCTCCAGTTGAGTGGGGTTTGGGTACACAGGCAGAGGCAGCCTCAGAGCCAGAGACATAGGGAGGGGCCTCTACCTGTTCTCATTTATTAAGGCCTGGTCAAGAGCGGTTTGAATCAAAACTGCGCCTCCCAAACCCAAGGCTCCTGTCGTCCATCGTGTGTCGTCTTCGTATTTAATGATCATTAAACAAGCTGGCAGCCAATTGCACTAAAAGCTGCAGGCTACTGCAAGCCATAAGGACAGTGGGGCAAAGACGATAAAATAGCAAGGCAATATATGAATTCGAAATATATTTCACTATAAAAATATCATGAGAAATTCAGGCTTAAACGAACTCCAACAGAGATTGTTACTAATAGAAACGGGGTTTAATAAAATCTGTGATCTATTGAACTCTAAGTTACATATAATTTATAATAATTATATATATATTATTATTATATTATAATATCTAATAAAAATAATATATCCAATCTATCTTTGATCATTTTTAACTACCTAGGCCTAGTTTAATCTTTTTCCCCAAACTAAACCCACTGTGAGTGGGCCAATGGACTGATGAAAACTATTAGTGAAGGCAGCTATAGAGCTGCAAAGTGGCTGCCTTTTTGTAAATTGCACCGACATTCCTGCAGTTCCTGCCTAGTGACTGCTCCTCCTGCTCCTCCTGATCCTCCTCCTGTCTCTGTCGCGTAATTTAAATAATCGTAAAAAATAATAATTCGTTCTATTGGCTTGGATGGCCATGTTCAAGCGCCCTGTTCCCTGCTGCCTGTTGATTATTATGGCCCTGGTAATATCTTTTGCTCGTTAGCAATTTTCGTTTCGAATAAATAGTAATTAGTGTGTGCCTAAAAAAATAAAAAAAAGAGTTTTGGGCGAGCAGGTCTCCTTTATTGGCATTCCTCCACCTGCAAAACCTGTAGTGCACCAAAAGCCTTCTGGGCACTTTTTGCTGACGTTCTCTGTTTTGGGCACTTTTATTTGACATTTTTCATTAAACACGAGATGAAAAAAGGTTTTTCTTCTTCCTTGGTTTTGGGGGGAGCGGGAAAACGGGAGTTGTGTCGTTGACATAACATTTTTGTATAGCTTCCCCAGCTCTTCGTTCTTCTCACCACTTTGGGCTGAAAGTTTGAAGGCATCTGGGGAAATATGTCAGCGTTGTTTAAGTTTTTAACATTTTCAACTGGCGAGGCTGCCACTGCCTCCCCCTCCATCTCTGCCTCTGCCTCTGCCTCTGCCGGGTGGAGATTGCTATTTACTCTGGCATAATTGGCTTGTCGGCATAGTTATAAAAAGTTCTGCTCGGGTGCAATTGGATTAAATGAATGGATACTCTATATATAAAGGCACTGGCACTATCAAAGTTTTCCTTGCTTGCCAACGGGAAGCTTTTGGTTATCTTTGGAGTTCGCTCTCTCTAACGAAAGGCAAACAAAGGTTGGATAAAAATTCCACATTTAATGCTTATTTCCTAGTACTATCTGCAGGATATCAATCTTGACTCGTTGCGAATGTTAATATATCATGAGAGTGACCCTACATTCTAGGAATGATTGATTATAGCCCCCGCCTGGGGGAGGTCATTGGGGTTAATTTGGTTGACAACCTGCGCGGCATCCTGGCCAATTGAATATGCAGGATTATCCTGCTTAGAAGACCGATTGCCTAAATTTAAACTTGGTTTACTTTTGGCCTGCCAGCAAATGGATACACAAATCGTTGGAGAAAGCTGGTTGGATGCTGTCTCTGTGTCATCTTTTTGGCTTATCAGCTGCGCATCATAAAATTTGCCTCTTCTTTTCTGCAATTGCCAAACTCCGCTCACTTTTCTCCCTGCTTTTCCATTCCATTTCTCCAGCTTCAAACTCTAGCTACGAAACTTTCTTTTGTTTCTGTCTATTGCTAAAAGTCGGGACCCCGTTTCGTAGTTTTTTTTGTAGGAGCCAGCAAGTGAATTTTCTCATTTTGCACTTGATATTGTTGCCGTTTTTGCTGCCTGCCTGCTCTGCCTGGGAAATTCTTCTGCTTTTTCTACTTGCCCGCTGTTGTTGTTGTTGTTGTTTTCTTTTTTCTTCCGTATTTTGGCAGAGTGAAACTTTTCTCTCTCTCCCCTTCTTTTCCTTTTCCCTTCTGACGCTTTTCCTGTGTGTCTGTGCCTGTGCCTGTGCCTTGCTGCCTTTTGCATTTTCGGTAGGTATGAAGGTAGGAAATTTAATCTCAAAGTCGTCATCGTCAACGCAGTACAGCTAGTTGCTTTTGCTGTTGTTGTTGTTGTTGTTTATTCCTCTTGTCGGCAACGTCACAGAAAATATTTAATTAATTTTTCGAATTTTAATTAAAAAGTTTCCGTTGCGTTGCGTTACTTGCGTCATTGGCAGTGCGAAAAGGCCTCAGCTACTTGTTCTAATTGATTTTATGTTTCCCCACCCGTGTTTTATTGCCTTAAGTAGCAAATATTTGATGGTACACCAAAGGTAACCCAAGCCGAAGACCAGAGAGACAACTCTTCCCCGTCGCAGTGCCATCAATCAATGCACTAAGGAGCGAGTGGAGCAAGAGTGGGGCCCATGGCGGAGTCCATTCCAATAAACATAAAGCAAACACTTAATTGTCTGTCAGCGTTAACAAACCGACAACACAAATATCATATGACCAAGAGAGCGAGCGGAGGGGGCTTTTGGGGGTTATGCCATAAGCAGACACACACATATATCACCTGCTGCGCACTGAAATGTTTTGTTTCTTTCCATTTTTTTTTGTTTCCACAAAACTTGTAAGAGATGCCAACTGACCGATAGTCCCTTGGAGAAAGAGAGAGAACTCCCAGACCCTGGTCCATGCCCAAACCCATACCTACGTAAATACCATTCGGACCAAGTCGAATCCAAGACGTCCGAATCCGAACTAAACTCTCCTCTGCATGCATTTCGTTATCTGTGACAAAGATCTTCTGGCCATTAAATTAACACTTAATGACTTGTGTGTGCGTACCGGGGTTTTTCTTCTTATTTTATTTTATTTTTTTCCAGACGACAATGATGACTAAAGGAAAAGCAGCAAAAAAAGAAGAAAAGACGCTCTGCAGCAGCCACACATCATTAACAGACAGCGGGGAGGCGTTGCCCGGGCTTTCGTTACCTCGGAGATTCGGATTCAGATGCGGATTCTTACTTGGATTCTCCTACACATCTCTTTTTGATACCCTACAAAAGACCCTGGCCCTGATGACTTTGTTAGCCCGGCTGAAAAGGAGGAAAAGAGACCTGCCTGCCATAAGAATAATGGCATAAAGGACAGCATCCCGACAAAAGACTTGTATGGGAACACACCTTGCCCTTTTGTTTGCTTCAGGGGGTTTTATGTTATCATCGTGAAAAATGGAATTATGGCACAAGGAAATGGATTAAAAAGAAAAGGAAAGACTCATGTCCAAGATCTCTGATTGCTCTTTTTAGAGTTTGTTTCCCTGGCAGGTGAGTGAGAAAAGAAAATTGAAATATAGATTTAGAAAATTTAATTTCGAAAAAAAGAGAGTTGCGAAGGGATTAGGAAATGGAATAATGAATGAATGAAAATTGAATTTCATAAAGTGCTTTTCAAAGATATTCATTTATGATCGTAGGAATATCAAATTGAATTTTAATCAATATAAATTCCAGGTATTCCATGGTATATTCTGTATTTTACTCCCAATTCAAACACTTAATGAATTAAGTCTCATTATAATCTACAAATATTTCCCTTGTAACTTTCCCACCTCATCACATAAATTGTCATCCTAGATTTTTGTAGTAAAACAAACGTGAAAATAACAAACATCCGATTATTCTTAGATTCATTGGAGACAAGAAAACTCTACCTAGAGACCATAAATTAAAATCCTAGAGCCCTGATTTGGGGCCTCTCTCTCTCTGTAACAGTCTCTAAAAAGGGCATCGAGTGTTCGATGCGTTTTGGGGGGACGAGAATATCTCTCCGATACCATCTCATTTGTATCTACATCTCTGGCGGCGGTGGAGTACGAGAGTATCTTGTTTGCAGCCATAAGTTTTCAAATTGTTTTTAGACTGACAAAATAAATGATGACAGGCGGCACGGCGGCTTTATCGTCTCTCCGCGGCCCTGCTAAGTTGTTCTAATTTTTTTTTTGGTTCCCCCACGAGATCTCTAATGGGCGTCCAAAGAAAATGCTTATATGTTAGATGAATAGATAAATCTGGACGGTGGGACGATGGGACGATGAGACTCCGACTTCATACTGGGAAATGGCGTTTCAGAGAAGTGTCTGTCGACGACGTGTGGGCAGAAGTGGAACACAATTTAATGTTTCTCACTTAATTTGTTATGGCAAAGCCCTAACAAATTTCCTGCCATTACATATGTTATTTTGGTTTTTGTTTTGTTGTAACCCCAGGAGGAAATATTCTTTTATGATTATTTAAATGTGTCTCTGGCATTAATTAATCGGTGGCAATCATCGATAGAATGCGGCAAGTGGCATAAATATATTTCATTTAAGCTCTGAGAAAATCAAAAGAGACTAACCGCAAGGAGAGAGGTACCTGTATCGGTGGTGATAAATTTATTGCATAATTGAACAGGACGAAAGCCTCTCGAATGCCTTAAAATGCAATTGTTGTTCTTGCTTTTTGCGGAGGGAATCCTTCGTCAACACACACACACTTTCCCAGCTCCTGCTGTTATTTATGGGCTTGCGGTGAACCAACAACTGTGTAAAGGGAAAACAACAAGGAAAAGGAGACTTTCCCCCCAACGGGGGAAAATGCGGGGCTCTCCCTTGTGTGTGCATGCGAGCGTGCTCTTCTCGTTTTGTTTAATTAAGTAGCATAACTGTAAACAAATTAATTTCAATATTAACAAAGAAGATTATTGAAAATCTCTCGCATTATTTACAATGCTGAATGACAAAACAAATAAATTATTAATTTTCCAAGAGCCCTGCTCCTGCTCCACCGTCCTTCCACTCAACTCGATGACAATGCATGATATTTCCTTTGACGGTGGGAATGTGGTGTGCACAAAGCAGCCATTTGAGTGTAAACATTCTGTGCGATTACAACTTCGGTTGCCGTTTTAATTGTCCCAAGCCACAAGCTGAGACATGGCCCCACCCCCAAATGCTTATCCTTCCCAGCAGTCAAGCATCCCTACCCAAGGACCCTCCACATTTTCCTTGGCGTCATGCCTCCCTGACTGAATGGGGCAAATGTAGCTTGAAAACGGTGCCCTTTGTGGGAGAACAGCTCAGTTGGCTTAGCCAATATGACAGCAATCGGGGAGTGGGGGTCACCTCCTTTGGATCCTTTTGGCTCCTTTTGGCTCCTTCGTCCACGGTCCCCGGGGTGAGTTTAGCTTGATGATGGAAAAGCAAGTCACTTGTTGAAAGGGTTGGCATACAATAAAAACAATTGCCAGCGGGGATTAAATTAGGAAGGAACCCACATATAATTGGAGAAGCTATATATGCCCTTGTTTGAAGTCCTTTAAGCCGGAATATAACAATAACATTAAAATAAACTTAATAATGTAATAATTTCAGCACCATATATCCCTACAATTCTCTTCTTGTAGCTCTGCCCATTGCATTTCCCCCTTTCCTTTGAACTCTTGTCATCGCATGGACAGAAACTTGGCAGGACTTGACCTTGTCTCCTTGCGTAACCTCGGCTGGGGGACTTTCTCTCGGCAAACAATTAATAAAGCTCAATGTCGTCTCTAAGGCTGTGTAATAAACCAAAACCTTAAGCTAGACAATTAAAGCACAAAAGCCGCTCGAATCGCTCTCGAATGCCATCCAATGGGGGCTGTCAAAGGCACTGACAAGGTATTGAATATCTTCGGATCAGAGCTCCACACACACACAGGATACAGGCCACAGGACACTCGGAACAAAGAGTCCCGGTTCCACATAAATATAGTCCGATGGGATGGAGGAAATCTTTTGCTCATTTAAAAAATTAACTTCAGAGTACCTTGCCAGAGGCAACAAAAATAAATAAAGAAAGTAAAAAACAGAGCAGAAAAAATAACAGGGGGACGGGGACACAAAAGCGATTTATTGGCTACGCAAGATAAATGGCAAAATGTTTACAGTTTCCCAGAGTTTCCCGCTCTCACATTGAAAACGAAATGTAAGCATTTTCCGCAAAGGTTTTTTCTTGTTGGTTGTCGAAAAACTTTCGGCAGGTTTACGCTTCTTTTTCTCCCTTATTTTTATACCCTTAAACAGGGTATTATGATTTTTGTTAGAAGCTTGTAAAGCTGTGAAGGAGTCGATTTTGACCCTATAAATCATATATATTTTTTAACCTTGATTCGTCGATAAAATTGTCCTATAAAAATAACAATAAATATTATGATCGATTACCGATACCATCCTCTAATTTATTTACAAACTTTTAGGGTATATAAACTTTCGTCTTTCGAACTTAGTTTCCTTTTTTGTTTTTTATTATTTTATTTTTTAAGCCCAGCTGCCGGTTGTTGTTGCTTTTGCTGTTGCCACTGCCTTTGCTACACATGCGATAAAAATTGCTCAAATAAACTGGTGAAAAAGGGACTTTGAGGTGAGGAGAGAAGGGACTCGGACTGAGCGACAGGAGGCGGTGACTGCAGCAAAAACATCATTAGCATTACCAAATAAATCACATCCGTTTTTCAGACACAGTCCGAGTCCGAAAATGTAAGCGAAGGGGGACCAGGGGGTCAGGGAGGCACTTTAGTAAAAAAAATAAAAATGATAACAAAAGGGAAGAGCTGATATGGGAAAGGGTATGGACTAGGGGATACCTCAAAGTGAACTATTAAAGCAAAATATTTAAAATATAAAGAACCTGTTAAATAATCTAATATTACGATGATTATGCAATCGATTCTTTATGATATCCTTCCCTATCTAGTACCTGAGCTTTAAACTAAAAGAAGAACAAGAATTGAAATATCTGTATAATATACTTTAAATAATGCTGACTATATTGCTGATCAAATAACTTAACTTTTCAGTATATTCTTCGCTGTAAATCACTGACTACATAACCTTTAATATAGGCTTAAATGTCATGGAACCCTGTCCCTCCAAAAGGAATCTAACAGGTAAACCCTATAAGAATTCCCATACAACCCACAGGAAAACGATCTACTATATATGTTGTATATATGTATATATAGAAACAAGCAAAATCCTGTTACAGATCCTAGATTCGATTTGTTTACAATAGTCTCATGGCACACAAGACACTGCTCATGCTCCACGGATACCCTTGTCATATATGGCTAGTCGTGGTATATGAAAAGGATAAAAGCTTTGAACACCGGAGTGCAATAAATTTCTCTCGTGACGAGCATAAAACTTTTTTAAACACAGAGCGAGGGGAGGGAGGGAAATGGGGGCATGCCACCAGTGGCAACAAAAGCAACACAAACGCATAGCGAAGCGGCAAGTTCCGTTTAAATTCCTTCCTTTCACCCAGCCCACAAAATCCGCCCCAGTAATGCACACACACAGGGAGCAGGGAGTGTGTGTGCAGTCGCTGTTTGCTCTCTACTTTTTTTTGCAGCTTGCCATTTCTCGTTTTTATTTGTGTGCATCAGTTTGGATTTTGTGGTTTTGATCCTGCATCCTTCGTCGTCGACGTCGTAGTTGCTGTGCCGATGATAAAGTATGCCAACTGTCAGCCTGCCCCTGCTCCTGTGCCACGCCCACACAAGCCCGCCAACGCCCATCAGCCTACAAGCGGGCAATACATCAGCTCAGCAACTTTGCTCAATAAATTTTTCCGTGCTCGGCGCCCCGCAGTATGCTATGATTTTCACTGATGTGCAGCAGCTCGGATGCAGTGGCAAAAGGAGCCTAAACAACTTGCTCACGGAGCAAGAGAAGGATTATAAGGACGCAGAGCAGACAGGACTCGACCGGTGGGTTACCTGGGTAACCTTTACCGCGAAGCTGACAAAGTTTTTGCACGCTCAATTTAGTGGAATGCCAAGTTTGAAGTGGCTCCAAGTCGAAAGGATTTATCGCTTGCAAGAAGGATATATCGATGTTTTTATCTGTCACAAGGACACTAAGCTATGGCTTAGAGTGTTCAATTTATTAAATCGTCAACTAGATATCATAACAAGTATATATCATCTTACAGATTGTAAGAGATATATGTGAGAAAACAAAGATTCAATTTAAGTTTATAGATTCAATGATCCTTCAATCCTTTACTATTAGTAGATATACCCCTCATGGGCCATGCTACCCTCTATCCGTGGGAGTATGAAATTATAACAAGTTTTGTAACAACATGCAAGCGTTTACATTGTTCGACCGCCGACCAGGAGAGAGACTGGGACTTTGGCCTGTTTAACACAGGAGTCCATGCTGCCTGCCTGCTGACCAATCTGACCATCCTGCGTCCTGTTTGTGCCCCGTCACAGTGGCAAATTTTATTGTTGCTCCTGCTGG